ATTGAACTCAGGACCTTTGGAAGAGCAAGCAGTGCTCTTAACCTCTGAACCATCTCTCCCGCCTGAGTTGTCGTCTTTTTTCAAGCTGCTTTTACAATTATTTTTTCACTTGCATTTTTGACATCCTGACTGCTGTATGTTGTGGAGTGTTTCTTCTCTGTTTGTCTTTGGGGAGTTCTATACACCAATTTCTTTCTCTAATTTGAGGCCTTTCTTTCTATTTTCTTTTTTTCTATAATTTCATTAGTTTTTCTTTTTTGGAAAAAAATTTTTTTGAAAAATATCTTTTTTTTACTTAACTTCTTTATTGACTCTTTGGGAGTTTCACATCATGTACCCCAATTCTGCTCACCTCCCGGTCCCCCCATATCCTCTCCTCATCCCTGCCACAATCCTACCACAAAAGAAAACAAAACACAGTAATCAAGAACATTAAAAAACAAAACATAAAATTCCCTTTGCTTCTCCTTCTTTCCTCCCTCTCCATCACTCTTCCCTCATCCCAGTGGCATTGGAGGCCTCGGTGTGCCATAGCGTATGCCACTTTGTCCCATCAGCTTGACTGGCAAATGTTCATTGCAGTGAGTCACTGGTCTGGTTCAAGGCCTCTGGTTTCTGGTTCACCATCCTCACTGGATCCTCACCTGAACTCCTCTGGGGTATCCTGTGGCCTCCTGAGGCTTGGAGATCTTGCCAGTATTGTTCTATAGAACCAGTCCCTTCACAAGCTCCAGCAGGTCCTAGATGGGGTAGATGCTAGGGTGGGTCAACCCAAGGCCCAGCTGTGTCATTCTGGACCACTGGGGCCATCCTTTTTGGACGAGGTGGTGGAGGCAGCTCCCCTACATGCCTGCCCTCAGGGTGAGGGGAGGGGGCCAGCTCTCCCGAGTGCAGGGGCCAGCTCTCTTGTGAGGTGTGGGCCAGCTCTCTTGCTGCAGTGTCTGGCAAGAGGCAAGGCCAGCTTTCTCAGGGCAGTGAAGGGTGGGGCCAGTTCAGCATGTCACTCTGATTTCATCTCCCATGGTTCCTAAGGCCTCCTGAGGTGACACAGGCCACAGACATCAACACAGACCTCAGCTGCAGCTGGACCATGGACCCAGACATGGCCATTGGCAGAAGCTTGAGTCCTGATGACATCCTGGCTATGGGTAGAAGGAATGGCCACTCAGGTGGGAATGGTTCTAGCAGACATACGGCCATCGGACACCACCAAGGCCTCAGTTGCAGCCCCAGCCCTGGGCCTCTATGTGACCTTTGGTGGCAATATAGGGCCCGGACTTCAGCACAGACCCCAGCTGATGTAGGACCATGGACCCAACATGGTTCTCAACAACAGCTGAGTCTGGATGTCACCACTGCCCCAGTGGCAGTATGGCTCTGAGACACCAACATGGCCCTCGATCTCAAGTGTTTGCATGGCCTTCGATGGTAAGAGGAGCATCGGACATCAGCACAGAGCCTGGCTGCAGTAGAGCCACAGACCCTGACATGGCCCTCAGCTGCAGCTTTTCCTCTGTAGTTTACACTTTCACCCTCAATTTACAGTAATATGAATTCACTTTGGAGACTGTCTTCTCAAGATCCTGGGTACTTTCCTTAATTCTTACATTTGTTTGCCTTTTCTAGATAATCATTGGTTCTTTTCAAAAGCAAAACTCTGAGTTCTTCCTCAGACATTCAGCTAACTCTGTAGTTTTAGATTCTCTTTTATGGCAGCTGGTTATGGGTGATGGTTGTGACATATTCTTTCTGTTCCCTTGCTGTGTTTCGTGAATCCGTTGGAGTAGGTTTGTTCTAACTTCCCTTTCCCCCAAGCCTATTGGGATATTTTGTTTTCTTTGTCTCTTTCTAGAGGAATATCTGCATGAAGCTCAGCTAGGGGGACTGGTGAAACCAACCCACCCTTCCCCAGTGTGGACATTTGTATTCACTGTAGTCATCAACACTGCAGTTGTCTAACTTCTGTCCTGCTAACCAGTATGAAGTGTGATCTGCTTGTCTTTTATTTGATAATTTTTCCCACCATCACAGAAAGGAAAGGGAGATGAAAGGCTCTGGGAAAACAGCCCTTAGCTGATTGGGAATCACTTCCTTCTGCAGCCATAGGAAGGGAATCCTTTGTTCTTTTGGAGGAAAGCATTGCTAAACGTTATATTTCATATTGATGAATATATTCACCATCAAACTACTGTGGCCATCAATAAAATAATACACAAAATGGTACTTTTAACCTACCTAAAGGATAGCTGGATGCAGGTTGCACTGTTTGGGTCTGCCAAAACATATTGTTCCTATGGTTTATCTAAATGCATGTTTAAATATGTGTTGTTTGGAAGCAGCTCAGAAGTACAATGATTCTGTGAAGATCTAAGCTTCTCTGCCTTAAGTTCCCAGAAACTTCCCATACCTGTGCAACACACAGAAATGGAGGAGGAAATAGTCTAATGTACAAACAAGTCTAAATTAATGCTTCTCGAAGACACAGTGTTGTGGGGTATCCACCAGAGAAGACTGCTTGGACATGGGTTTAAGCCAATCAAAAACCTATATTGTCAGCCTGGGTGTTTGGGATCCCTTTGTAGCTCTGAGTTTTTCTCTGGTGACCTTTTTAAAACCACATCCTGGGTGGACACACTTCAGCTAGCAAGAACAATTAGCCAGAAGCAGAAGTACAGGAGCCAAAAAGCAAGGTTAGTCCATTTAGAACTTTCCCAGAACTATGGACTGCGATGGATTAGATGGTGCTGGCTACATTCTGAGTTTTACGGCCTGAATGGTACTTCCATCACAGAGTCAGGTGTGCTGAGGTCTCAGAGCCTGTTACAATTCCTCAGGATGAACTTTGGTGGGATGGAACTTTGGTTTGTCATAGAAACCCTATGAAGGAGGAGTGGACATTGTTTATCCCATGTCTCCCCTAGGGATGTCAGGCCTGATCTGATGGTTAAGTACAGGGAGCCCTACTTGGGCCTCCTAGCAGATCTGGCCTATTCCTTCAAGAGAGAGACTTAGAAAAATGGAGGCATGTTTTGTGTCATGGTCCACAGCAGAATCCACGGTGTTTCCTTCTACCTAACTCTAGTATTAAACTGCCCATTTCAGTGTTGGAAACATTACAAGGCCAACATGGATTTACCAACCCCTGGCCTTCCTGTCCACTCAGGTCCAGTCCTTGTCATCAGAAAGATAAGGAACAGCCCCTGTGTAGGCCTGTATCCTGGTGGCCTTCCTAGATTTTGGAATTCTGTCCAAAAGGCACACCCAGAAACAGCACCCCACAAGCTCCTCCTCCCTAACCCATTAGATCCCTGTCAAGCCCACTTTTGGTGGGTGACTGCAAATTGCCAGGCTACAGAGGGGCTTGGATGTTCTACCCTCCACAAGCCTTTGAGGCAGTGGTTGTCAACCTGTGGGTCATGATCCCTTTGGGGGATTGAACAACCTTTTCACAGGGGTCACATAAGATATCCTGCATATCAGATAATTATATTACAATTTGTTGGAGAACCCTGCATCTAAGGTTGCAGTTTACCGTGTCCGGATAGCTCTCTGAGCTCGGTGCAATATGGAGGACTCCCTTTGCAGCAGGACTCCCTCTCTACATTATTTGGATAGTGTCTCTAGGCATGGGTGCCTGACTTATTTGGAAGCTGTCCCTGAGCTTGGATGCCTGACTTAAGTGTGACCTTTGACACAGTTCCCTGCAAATGCTCTCCCCCTGCCCCCCATATGATAACTAGGTGTTGTGCTCCAGCTGTATGATAGGACCCTGCTGCCAAACACAAATTAGGTGATGCCCCAGCTGCTGTCCCCATCCTACATATTCCCCTCACCCTGAAATAAAGTTGAGCTGAAGCTGAGTCCCAGAAGCTGACTCCATCATACTCACGGGCCACACAAAGCCCTGCATGACACCTCTGCTCCCTCTGCCCTCGAAGACTGGTGGCCAATGGACCATGAGAAAAATGGAGACCCCACAATGATTCATAACAGTAGCAAAATTACAGTTATGAAATAGCAATTAAAATAATTTTATAGTTGGGATCACAACATGAGGAACTGCATTAAAGGGTTGCAACATTAAAAAAGTTGAGAACCACTGCTTTTTTCCACTGATTTTGTTTTTCAAGACAAGGTTTTTCTGTGCAGCCCTGGCTGACCTGGAACTTGCATGCGCTCTATCTATATATACATATATATTCATATTCATTCATTCTATAAGTTCTATAAGTTCTGTTCCTCCAGAGAATCCTAATACATTGATCCTACTCAACCTCCCTCATGCTGGAATTACAGGCTTGAGCCACAACACCAAGGCTTTATTTTTATTTATATATTTGTTTGTTTGTTTGAGAGACAGAGGCTCTCACTAACCGTGACCTAGAACTAGAACCTCCTGCTTCAGTCTCCTAGGTACGGATTACGCACCAGCTACAACATCTCTGTGCCAGTCCTCTGCATATATGTTATAGTGTTAGCTTGGTGTTTTGTGGGACCCCCCTAACAGTGGGAGTGGGGGTGTCTCTCACTCTTTCACCTGCTCTTGGGACCCTTTTCTTCCTACTGGGCTGCCTCACCCAGCCTTGATATGAAGGTTTGTGACTAGTCTTCTTGTACCTTGTTATGCCATATGGATATGCCTGGGAGGCCTGCTCTTTTCTGAAGGAAAATGGAGGAATGGATCTACAGGAGAAGGGATGGGGATGGCATTAATAGCAGGAGTAGAAGGAGGGGAAACTGATGCTGTGTCCTGCACAGGCCTATCCTCAGTGCTTGTTGAGACAGCTGTGTGGGGGCCTGTGTGGACAAAGGATCGAAGTGGGAGGAGAGGGAAAAAATGATGAGTGAGATGGGGAGAGAACATGCTGGTGTGGCAATTCCAGTGGGGAGGGAACCTCCAGACAGGGTCTGGGGTCAGGGCTGAGCGAGGGTCGGCTGATCTCCCTAGATCTGACACTCTAAGACCCTCCTCAAAAATAATGCACAGTCACTGGGTGACCTGAGTCTTAGTAGAAGGCTTTTAATGATGTTTGTGAGTGGTTACAGCAAGAAAAGGGGAGAGATCAGCCCCTCCTCCTGGCAGGCCTAGCTGAATTCTTGCCATTGAACCCTGGCCATGAAGGTACGTATTTCCATAGGCTGCAGTGTGACTGAGGTAGGATCCAACTTGGAAGGAGCAGGGTAGGAGATGGGACCTGGTGATCAGCAGAAGAGAACTCAGGCCTGGACACAGCCATACACACCCACCTCTCAACTCTGCCCCAGGGCCTCACATCCAGACCTTTAAACCACTTCCCTATACCTGAATACCACCTCAAGATTCCCAAAATCCTCCAACTCCATAGTGTTCATATCCCAAAGGTGACAGACACCATCCTAGAATTAGACACTGATGGAGATCAACACATCCTTGGGTTAAAATTCCATGCTCCAAACTCCAGGAGCATTGCTGGTTTGCTGAACTGCTCACTCTTTTAAGGCCCTGTCCTCAAGCTCTACATTGGCTCCTAGCCAACAACCCTCACACTCCACCCTCAGCTGCCAGCCCCAGGCAGGAATCCTGCCAGATCTTCACCAGTATTTGTTATCCACTTCAGCCTAGAAGCCCTGGACAGGGGCTGGTTGGCTGCCAATGTGGTCTCCTGCAGGTCGGTGATAGTGAAGGCCTGGAACAGGTTCTGCAGGGAATAGATGGGTCCAGGTGAGCCCCAAAGTCCAGTTTTTGCCTGTCTCTCTCTCATCCTGTCTCCTTCTCAGCTCAACCTTCCTCACCTGCAAGTTCAAGGTTACAGGGGAGCTCAGGTTGCCTTGTGAATCTTCTTTCACAGCGAACTGGTGCTCCAAGCGTAACAGCACCATCTTTGGTCCCCAGCGGGCTAGTGTAAGCAGATGTACCTGGGGAGGTAGGTCCTGGCGAAGTCCCGAGAACTGCAGAAAGAAGGGCTAAGTCTAAGGGGATTGGTCGGAGCCTGGCTGGCAATCAGCACTGACTTGCAGGAAACGAAGCTGAATGGGAAGGGGCATTGATGAGGCCGAACTCAATACTGAAGCATATTGCTTACAACACGGAGGGGCTCACTCCTAAGGGGTCAGACTTAAACTGAGGGTGAACTCAGTCCTGAAAAGAGGGGCTTCGAAGGCATCATTCGGGATCTGCCTTTCTGCTCTTCTCGCTGTCCCTCACCTGCATCCTTGGTGCTGCCCTGGAGGAATAGGGACTGCCATCACCCTGAGCCAGCACCACCTGAGGGGCCAGGACCTCCTTCTCCACCAGCAGGCGGTGCCTCTGGGCTGCATCACTAACAGAACTCAAAAGCACAAGGTGGCGCCCTCTCACAATTTTCCCGGTCCCTGAGTCCATGAGGGGTTCCGCAAGTCCGCGCTCATCATCTACCAACAGTCTTCTGTGCACCTGTGAGGAGTGGCCAGGAAAGAGTGAGGAAATAGCAAGTGATCCCAGTTCAGAAACTGGGTAGAGCCTTGCAGGAATTCCAACAGAAACTAAAGACCAAGATGGGAGTCTGCTGGTAGGGGACCCCAGCAGAAGTGAGGCCCAACTAACAAGAGTCCAGGACAAAGAAAGTAAGTGCTTAACAAGAGGATCATCACAGGACAAGTCAAGGCCTGAGCAGGGACTGGATAAGAGGAGGGAAAGTGGAACTTAGAAATACAATTCCAAAGCCAGGCACAGTGATGCAGGCCTGTAATCCAAGCACAAGAAAGGGAGGAGAGGGGAGAGGATGGAACCAAGGCCACAGGCAGGACATGGGTACCCAAAACAGCCTCCAAGCTTGGCTGGGTCTGGGTGGGCCTCATGGGAGAGACCCAGATTGGATGGGGCTCCCCTCTCACCATGAGCTCCAGTGAGCCATCCTTCAGACTGCTGCCCCCCTGGGAGCGGTCGGTCACCACGGTCAGCTGCATGTGCCCATCCTAGGTGTAAGGGTGACTGAGCATGTGGGTCCCTGGTGGGAGCCCACCCTGCCCCAGGTATCTGGGAGGTGCTTCCATGTCTGAGGCAGTGGCAGGACAGGTACCGAGATGTAGATTCGAGTGTTGACAGGATAGTAATTTCCAGCCACCGGTTCAGTCTGATTTAATCTCCAAGTGGGTCGATGGTCACGTCTGGGAAGAGGTGTGATATGATCAGATTTGGAGTCCTGCTTCCTCTTCATCATCCCACACTCATATCATCACCAAATCCCCATGGCCCTGAAATCCAGCACACCACAGACTCTCCCATGATACCCTTCCCCACCTCCTCTTCAGGATTTCCCTGCCGTTGCTGTCCGTGTAGAACTGTCCATTCGTTTTCATTGGGGTGTTAAAGCGGCTGATGACCTCCTTCCCCAAGTTATCTCTGTGCTCAATGGAAAAGGACCCTTGTGAGTCTCCTACACACTACTGTGTCTGCTCCCCACTCCAGAAAATATGCCACTTACTTCACTGGGATTGGTCCCACCGTCCACTCCAGCTCCAAGTGACGCTGTCCTGGGTACAGGCGAACCACTTGAGAACACCAGGCTGAAAAATTCTGGTGTACCTCCTGCACCAAGGCTGTCTACAGGCACATTTGGAGGGCTGGTGTGAGCCACGTTCAAATCGCTAAGAATCCCCAAAAGGGATATCCCACTAACATCCACCTCACAGACTAACTCAGTATGATGTTCTCACTGCTTCTTTGGTTTCATTGTATGGAAGATACATGTGGAGATCAAAGCATAACTTGCAGGAACTGGTTCTCCCTTTCCACCATGTGGGTTTCAGGGACTGAACACAGGTAGGCTTGGTGGAAAGCACCTGTACCCTCGGAACCTTCTCACCAGCTCCACCCTCCCACCCCCACTCCCCACCTCTACCCCTTGCTGATGGAATCCAGAGACTGGCCATGGCCAGCTCACCTCTTTTTTCACTCTGACACAGAGTCTCAAGTACTTCAGGCTAACCTCAAACTCTGCAGGAGTCAAAACTGAAAACTGGCCCTGAACTCCCGATCCTGCTGCCTCTGTCTCCCCAGTGCTGGGATTACAGGTGTGTGTTACCACGCCCAACAGGCCACACAGCCCTTGACGGAATCCACATATACCTGCTATCCACTATTGCCCCATCTTCCCTCTTTAGAACAGGATTCCAGCTTTGCATGTCTAGTCATCTTTGTGCTATCAGGACCTCTGTGGCCACAATCTGCCCCACGGAAAATGATCAAGGTAGTACGAACAGTGAATGACCCTTTCCCTCTCTCTGGCTCAAATACAGACGTGGTAGCCGGAGCCTGAGTGTCTGTTTGGACCATGAGGGGAAGTTGAACATTAAAGAAGTTTGAGGGACAAGAACCAGACAGAGAAATGTTGGCAAATGTGAGACCTCCACCTCCTTGGATGTCCAGCCAGACATTCTGTTAGAAGAATGTTTCTATTGTTGTTGTTGTTTTGAGATAGGGCCTCACTATGCAGACCAGGCTGACCTCAAACTCACAGAGATCCACTACCTCTGCCTCTCAGTGCTGGGATCAAAGGCATGCACCACCATGCATGGCCCAGAAGGAAAGAACCTTTTTGTTTGTTTGTTTTTGAGACAGGGTTTCTCTGTGTATCCCTTGCGATCCTTGGGCTCACTCTAGAGACCAGGCTGTCCTCAAATTTGGAGACCTGCCTGCCTCTGCCTCCCAAGTGCTGGGATTAAAGTTATGCACCACCACCACCTGGCCTCTGAACCATATTTTAATATAGGTATGTAGACATTTGCTTAAAGGGGAATCACATCAAATATGAGCCTAAGAAGCCTGCATCTACTCCTTTCCCACCCCAGAAGGAAACATCAGAAAATCATTAGGGGCCACTTGAGACTCTCAAGAAAAATTAAGAGTGAATTATCAAATATATACCCACATATAAATGTTTTTGTTGCAAACATGTTTTTGTTGCAAGCTTGTGTGTGTGTGTGTGTGTGTGTGTGTGTGTGTGTGTGTGTGTGTGTGTGTGTGTGTAGAAAGAGAGAGAGAAAGTCCCACTACATAGCCTAGGCTGGCCTTGAACCTGCGACTCTCCTGCCTCAGCCACCCCTGTGCTCTTATCACAGCCCCTCCCTGTCATGGTGGTATGGAGCTAGAACTCAGGCCTTTACTCATATGCAAGTGATCTAAACTACATTCCAAGACATAAACTCACTTTATAGACCTTGGTGAACTCTAAGCAATTATATGTTGCCACCCCCTTCATCTCTAATTTCCAAAGCGAGGAATGGACGTGAACATGTTGACAGAGATCTTTATAGAAGCAGGCTTTCTCCATCAGCAGTGAAGCCTGGGTCTTTACTCCATATGTAAAGGAGAAGTAAAGCCAGGCATCGTGACTCACTTCCACAATCCTAGCACACCAGAGGCTGAGAGAAGATCAAGAGCTTTGAGGCCAGGCTGGGCTACACAGGAAAACCTTTCTTGGGGAGCAGAGAGATGGTTCAGCAGGTACAGATACTTGCTGCCAAGCCGATGAACCACATTCTATCCTAGGGACCCATGTGGTAGACTCCCACAAATTGTCCTCTAACACATGTGCACACAGAAACACACATACACACACACACACACACACACACACACACACACACACACAAATAATAATAATATTTAAAATAATAATAAAATAAAGAAGATGAAATAGTTCCCACCAACACCCTACATATGGCACATCCTGTTCCCAGATTCCACATTCCCACCCCTACCCCTCAAACCCACTCATAATTTCTGGCTACAGACCTTCACCTGATGGATCCGAGCCCAGCGGCTTACAGGCAGTGGTTCAAGATGGCTGGGTCTGAAGATGTAGGCACCAGAGGCCTGAGTGCTCTCCTCATCACCAGTGCTGGCATTGTACCTGGGACCAGAGTAAATGAGCATCAGAGAGGGGCCTCAGCTCCTACCCGCCCCGGCTCTGTGCACCAACCAGCCCTGACATAGCAGCCCTTCCTCACCAAAAGAAGCCTTGGCTCACAGGGAGTGAGAGGTTCTGTTCCATGTTTTCAATCTTCATCAATAACCCCGTTTCAGAGTCAAATGTAGCCCGGATGTACTGGGTGGGGAAATGGAGCACACATGTGAACAAGGTTCTCCTCGGCAGTGAAAGCTCCAGCCCTCCCTGGAATCACTTCCTTCATCTCGCCCACTGTTGTGCCTGATCCAATAAGCAAACACTATTGTAACCACTGCGCCCGTCAACTTTAACCTCTGGCCACTTCTCTACACACCATGGTCCTCTAGGACTAACTCAGCCCTTTGCAGAGACCCTCAATTCTATACTGATCCAGTCTATACACCCCACAGCAGCAGAGCCAACTATGGTAGCCTAAAGTGACCCCAGTCCTCACCTGCTCAAGAGCTTGACCAGTGTATCATCTGACCCATGAGCCGAACGCCAGAACCCATAAGGCTTTCATTGACTCACAGAAATATTTTTATGTTGTAATAGTGATCATAGCTCAGTTGGCAGCCCTCGGCACCATATAAATATGACATGTGGTACATGCCTATAATCCAGGACTCAGGAGGTGGAGGCGGAAGATTAGGAGTTCAATGTCATTTTGAGCTATGTATCAAGTTCAGGGTCAGTCTGGGCTCTATGAAGCCCTGTCCCCAAAAATTGAAGAACATTTCCATTTCCTTTAAAATCTAAAGAAAAGTTGAATAGTAACAATGAACATGTCATAATGAGACTTGCATGGACATTACTTATCTTCACAGAAGTCTCATCCTATAACTTTTTGTGTGGTATGTCTGCCTGTGTACATGTTTGTGTGTGTACATTCATGTGATGCATATGAAGGCAAGGGGCTGAAGTTGGCTGGGTATCAATGATTCTCTACCATAATTTTTATTTTTTTAATCTTTTTCAATGATGTATTTATTTTTATTTTATACGCACTGGTGTGAGGTTGTCAGATCCCCTGGAACTGGAATTACAGACAGCTGTGAGCTGCCAGGTGGGTGCTGAGAACTGAACCCAGGTCCTCTGGAAGAGCAGCTGGTGCTCTCGACCACTGAGCCATCTCTCCAGCCCCTTTTATTTTTTTTTTTTTTTTTTTTTTTTTTTTTTTTTTTTTTTGGTTTTTCGAGACAGGGTTTCCTTGTGCAGCTTTGCGCCTTTCCTGGAACTCACTTGGTAGCCCAGGCTGGCCTCGAACTCACAGAGATCCACCTGGCTCTGCCTCCCAAGTGCTGGGATTAAAGGCGTGCGCCACCACCGCCCGGCCCCTTTTATTTTTATTGTTTGAACGAGGTTTTCACTATGTGTCTCTGGCTAGCCTCAACTCACTATGTAGACTAAGCTGTTCACCTTGTTTTTTGAGACAGAGTTTCTCACTAAACCTGGAGTTCACCAGCTCAACAACACTGGCTGGCCAGCAAGCCCCACCAATCCTAACTGTGCCCACAAAGTGTCAGGACTACAGACACACCGCACCACACCAAGGTCCACACCATCCTGATACAACTTTTAGTATGTTTTATGAAAGATGGAGCCCAAGAAGCAAATATGCCAGGTCTCAGGACAATCAGCTTTTCTTTCTTTCACTTACCTGGGTTTTTTTTTTGTTTGGTTTGGTTTAGTTTTGGGTTTTTTCTTTGTTTTGTTTTGGTTTTGAGACAGGGTCTCACTATGTAGCTCTGACTGTCCTAGAACTCACTCTGTAGACCAGACTGACCTTGAACTCACAGAGATCCACCTGCCTCTGCCTCTCAAGTGCTAAGATTAAAGGCATTAACCACTATATCTGGCCAGGACATTTTTTTAAGACTAATTATTATTATTTTTAATTATGTTTATAAGTGGGTGTGTGAACATTATTGCAGGTGCCTACAAGGCCAGAGGCATTGTTTCCCCCTTGACCTGGACTTACAGGCAGTTGGTTATGAGCTGCTAGACTTGGGTACTGGGAACCAAACTTGGATTCTCTGCAAGAACAGTGCATGCTCTTAACCTGCTGAGCCATTTCTCCAGCTGTGCTGGGTACTTTTATGTCAACCTGACACAAACCTTGGGTCATCTGAGAAGAGGGAACCTCAATTGAGAAAATACCTCTATAAGATATAACAGCAAGCCTGTAGAACATTTTCTAAATTAGTGAATGATGGGACAAAGCCTAGACCATGGCAGGTGGAGAAACTTCTGGGCTTGCGGTCCTGGATGCTATAATAAAGCAGGCTGAGCAAGCCATGAAGAGCAAGCCAGTAAGCAGCACCCTCCATGGCCTCTGCATCAGCTCCTGCCTCCAGGTTCCTGCCCTGCTTGAGTTCCTGTCCTGACTTCCTTCAGTGATGGACTGTTACCTGGAAGTGTAAGCAAAATAAACCCTTTCCTCCCAACTGGATTTGGTCATGGTATTTCATCACAGCAGTAAAAACTCTAAGATACTAGCTCTTCATTTATAACTATTTCTGAGGTGCTGGGGATGGAGCCCAGGGCTTCACAGATGCTAGGCAAGTGTCTGTCACTGAGGTACAGTCTGAGCCTTCAGCTGTCTCCTTATCAAAGAAGCCTTCCTGAAGCATGATCCTAATTATAATAAAAACCTGGAGTCAGATATTGAGGGTGAAAGCTAAAATATCAGAGAAGCAGAGCAGCCAGCCACCACAAACTTCTTACCTCTGCAAATCCTCAGAATGAATGGGGACAAGATGCTGTCTCCACCCCTCTAGTGCTGGGATTAAAAACTTGCACCACTGCTGCCTGGCTCTGTTTCTCTTTAGACTGGCTCAACCTTGTGAAGCCCAGGGTGGCCTTGAACTCCTGATCTTCCTGCTTCCTCCATCAAAGTGCTGGGATTAAAGGTGTGTGCCAACACTGCCTGGCCTCTATGGTTAACTAGTGGCTAGCTCCGCCCTCTGATCTCCAGGCAAGCTTTATTTGTCAGAACACAAACAAAATCTCACACATCACCTTCCATGTCCCCTGAACACCTACCTGCCATGGGCCCTGACACAGCTACAGCAATCTCATGGTTACACTAGGTTTACACAACTGCTCCAGAAAGGAGAGTGAGGCTCAAAGGGCACTTTCCTCACTAAAGAACACACAATCAGGAGAGACGAGTGTAAACCAAAGACTGACCCAGAACCCAAGGACCCAGAATCCAAGCAGTTTTTATAACTCTTTAAATTTGTCACAGAGGCAAGGAAGGAGATTCAAATAGAGTCTCACCTCATTTTCAATGGCCAAGACATAGGACCTGGGTCTCCTGGGGCTGGCCTGAAGGCTCTGGGCCTGGGAGTTATGGACAGTCACCTTGACCACAGAGTAGATGCTGAAGCCCAGGGCAGGCACTGAGGCTGAGAACACCAGGTCCCACCGGTACTTCTTACTGTAGGAGCTGGGAAGTATCACCACCTTGAGAGGGAGAGGACGCTAGTCAAGAGTCAAGAAGACACTTCTAAAGCCAGTCATGGGTGCAAGCATCAACCTCAGAGGGTAAGGAATAGACAGAAGAAGAAACCTAGGTGTGACTGGGAGAGGAAGAAGAGCATTTGCCTAGCACATTCTATACCTAGTTCACTGCAGAAGAAATAGGAAGGAAAGGGAGAAGAGGAGGGAGGGAAGAGAGAAGCGGAGGAGGGTGGAGGTATATACAAAGAGAGACTAGGAGTCTGGGAGGAGATAGGAAGCAGAGAGAGACAGGAGGGGGCTGAGAGGTTCAGGAAAGGAGACCTCCTGGAGGGAAGAGGCTGTCCATAAACAGAAAATCTGCTGGGGAAACAGTGAGGTTAAGGCAGGAAGATCACAAGTTGGAGGCTAGCCTGGGCTACACAGTGAAAGCCTGTTGGAAAGAAGAAAGAGGAGGGGGTCAGAAAGGGAGGGCAAATTCCAAGGGGGACATTTAGAAGGGCTGTCAACTTGTGGAAGGGAGTTGTTCATGATGTAGAGACACACAGAAGAGGAAGAAACTCACGGAGATATCTACAAGATCTGGGGGAAATGCATTGGGAAAGCAGGGGGTGGGGAGTGTTAGAGTTGGGGGGCTCTCATTGTGCAGGCTCACATTACTGGGCACAGTCTTTCCATTAGGGTCCTCCACAAAGAAGATGCCTTCACTGACTGGCAGTCGGACCATCTGATGCACCTTCCGGCCCAGGGGGTTGTAAACAGTTACCTGGAACTATGGCAGGAAGGGCAGAGTCACAACAGGCCTCCAAACCCATCTAGTGGAGCATCTTCCCACACAGTCCTGGCCTTCCAGGACAAGCCATGACCCTTGTGATGAACTATCCTGTCCCAGTTTCCCTGTACCCAAAATGGCCCTCCAAACATAACTTATGTAACTGCTCCATCCCCTTCACTGCAGGCTTCACCTTCTGGAGCTCTCTCTGTCCCACCTGCCTCCCAGCCCTACTCACTTGCTCTGAGTTCTGGCTGACTGGGCAGATGCTGATGTTGAGCTCGCGGCAGAATGAGAAGTTCTGTTTGTAGAAGCTGAGCTGTGCCAGAGCGTTGCTCACCAAAACCTGGTGAGGATCACCAAAAGACCTGCACCCAAGGTTTGCACCCCAGGAAGCCTGGTCCTGCCCTTACCAAAACCAAGTCTCTCCTACCTAGACCCAGCCCCATTTCCTGTAAGCTCCACCCCTTCTCTCCCAAGCACGGCCCCCTCCACCTCCCAAAACCCCACCCCTAAGAGTACTCTAGGGCCCGCCCATCACCCAGGATTATGCCCTTCTTAGTTCCTTCAAGGTCCTGCCCCTCACACCTCACAGGGTCTCCAGCCTGCTGCCAGCTGCCTTGCATAGTCATTTACAACGTTCTGCCTTGCAGTACCAGTGACCGCATCGTGGTGCTGGAGCACAGCCATTGCCTCCTCTGCCAACAGAACATCAGTCGGATGCCATCTCCCACAGAACTCTGAGCCCCACCACCAAGTACACACACACAAAAGCTCGGGTGCAGGTTAACAGGGTTCTTAGGAGATTTAAGAATGGAAGGCTGGAGCCATCAATGGCCCACTGGCTAAGAGCACTGACTGACCTTTCAAAGGACCGGGGTTTGACTCCCAATATCATATGTGTCTATATGTCTATAACTTCAGCTCTAGGGAATGTGACACTCCTTTCGGCCTATAAAGTCACCAGATATGCATGTGGTACACTAATACACATGCAGGAAAAACACATAAAAATAAATTTAAAAGAAAGAATCTCGAAGTCTAGGGATGTAGCTCAGCGCTCGGTGAAACAGTGCTGTCTGGCATTCAAGAGGTCCAGGGTTCAATCCCCAGCACCACCAAAAGTAAAGTGCCCTAGGGATGGTTTTGGTTTCTAGCTTCAACCCTTCTCTGTCACCCCATTCAATTCCACAGTCCACAGATGACACTCACTAAGGGGTGCACTGTCTCCTGTGCCATAGGGTCCCACGTTGGCTGCGGGACCGGCCAGTGCCTCCAGCTGGTTGCACACCTGAGGAGAAAGGGCTATATTAGGCAGCAGCTTCTCTGGGCCTCCTGGATCCCCACATGCTCACTCACCTGCAGGAAGTTGTAGCTGAGGCGCTCATAGCGTTTGAGGGCCGGTCTGCTAGAAAAATAGCCCGTCCAGAACATGTGGGGGCCATCAGCATAAGGAAAGAAGTCATCTTCCTTCACAGACCTGCACAAGGGCATTGAGAGCAATCACAGCCCACGGAGCACGCCAACCCCGCCCCAAGCTCCCCAGTCCCCTGCCCCAAATACCAGGTTAGATTGGCCTTGTTCAGCTCCCAGAGGTAACACGTAGGGGTGGAGTAGAGAACATGGACCTTGCTCCCCTCTGCCTGCTGCTGGGGAAAGGCGTGTGTGAGTCTCAGGATCTGTACCTTCCCAGGGCCCACAGGCATCCAATAGGTTGAGTTCTCCATATTTTTTGTTGTTGTTCTTTTTATTTCTCTATTTAATGTTTATATTTAATGTTTTGCCTGCATGAGTGTCCATGCACCACCTGCCTGCCTGGTGCCCTTGAAAGTCTGAAATTCCCTGGAACTGGAATTGCAGATGGCTGTGAGCCACTATATGGGTCCTCTGGAAGGGCAGCCAATGCTCTTAGCCTCTGAGCCATCTCTCCAGCCCCTAAACACCCTTTCTGAGTACAAAACAGTAGTCAAATGTGGGCATATGTCTTGGCCAAGACCAAACACTGTCCGTCACTCTTAAAAGATTTCAGGGATAATCCTATAATTCTACACAATTTTTCTTTTCTTTTTTTTTTTTTTTTTTTTTTTTTTTTTTTTTTTTTTTTTTTTTTTTTTTTTTAAATTTATTTATTATGTATACAGTGTTCTGCCTGCATGTATGTCTGCAGGTCAGAAGAGGGCACCAGATCTCATTATAGATGGCTGTGAGCCACCATGTGGTTGCTGGGAATTGAACTCAGAACCTCTGGAAGAGCAGTCAGTGCTCTTAACCTCTGAGCCATCTCTGCAGCCCTTTCTTTTCTTTTTTATTTGTTTTGTTTGAGGCAATCTCCCCATGTTATCCAGCTGCCCTGGCTGACCTAGAATTTTTGAGTTCAAATGATCCTCCTACCTGAGCCTCCCTGGTAGCTGGGACAACAAGCATGGGCAGCTGCACCTAGCTGGTTTACAAAACTTTTTAAATAATTCCAACAGGGAATTATTTAAAACAGGGAGAGGTTGGGCATGTGTAGCTCAGTTGGTATGGTGTTTGCCTAGCTCCTACAAAGCCAAGTTTAACCCCCAGGACACCTGTAACCCTAACCCTCCAGAGGGACAGGCCTAGCAAACGTTCAAAGTCATTCTTAGCTACACAGCAAGCAGAGGCCAGCCTGGGCTGCAGGAGATCCTGTCTCAAAAACAATTAATTAATTAACTAATTAATTATAGGAAAATTAAGTATGCCATTATAGGTAGAAATCATGTTTTTGGATTTTTTTAGCACTGTCAGACTACCAAAAGACATATCCACTTGTCTCTGCTCCCAAGTGCTAAAATGAAAAGCATGCACCACCATGCCTGGATATAAAATAATATATTTTTTTTTAATTTTAAGGGAATTGGAATTTCTGTCAGCTGACCTTAAACTAGAGATTACCTGGGATGCCCAGAATAATCACAAGGGTCTTGAAAACTGGAAGAGGGAGCTAGAGTGTCAAGCCCTTGCCAAGCATATATGAAACTCATATATGAATCCCAACAGGAACAAGAGGAAGAGGAAGAGGAGGAGGAGGAGAAGGAAGAGGAAGAGGAGGAGGAGGAGGAGGAGGAGGTGGGACTTTAACTCCAGCACTCAAGGGTACAGGCAGGTGGATCTCTGTGACTTCAAGACCAACCAGGGATATATTCTTTCTGTCTCTTAACAGAGAAGAAGAAGTGGTTCAGTGGTTAAGGCCACCAGCTGCTGTTCCAGAGAACCCAAATTCAATTCCCAACAGCACACGGCAGCTTACAATTATCTGGAACTCCAGGTCAGGGAATCCAATGACCTCTTCTGGACTCTGTACCAGACATGTACAAGGTACACAGATACATATGCACACAAAATACCATACACATAAAATAGCTAAACTTTCTTAAAAGAAGAAAGAGGAGGAACAGGAAAAGGACCATGTAGAAGAGAAGCAGGCGGGGGTGGACAGGAAGAGGAGAAAAGAAAAACTAGGAACAGAGAAGCAGAAATAACGAGGCTGATCAGGGTGGCGTGCACCTTTAATCCCAGCACTTGGGAAGTAAAGGCAGGAAGATCAGGAGTTCAAGGTTATCCTCAGCTATACAATGAGTTTGAGGCCCAACCTAATCTACAGGAAAGTTTGTCTCAAAAAACCTCAAGTGGCTAGGAAATGACTCAGCAGGTAAGAACGCCTGCACATAAGTGTGATGGGCTGAGTTCAATCTGCAGAACTCACAGACAAAACTGGGAACAGCCACCTATGAGCCTGTACTCCAGCACTAGAGGGGGCCCAGATACCAGTACAGTACAGGTTGGCTGACTGCCAGCCTAGCTCCAGGTTCAATTCCCAGGGGATGAGACAGACACCAATAAAGCAGGACACTAAACATCTTCCTCTGGCTTCCAAGAACAAACATGGTCATGTGCACCTGCACACACACAATTTTACAAAACTAAAACTAGGGGGCTGGAGAGATGGCCCAGTGGTTAAGAGCACTGACTGCTCTTCCACAGGACCTGGGTTCAATTCCCAGCACTCACATGGCAGCTCACAACTATCTGTAACTCAAGTTCCAGTGGATCAGACTCCCTCACAAAGACATGCAGGTCAAAAATCAAGGCATGTACAGATTTTTTTTTTTTTTTTTGGTTTTTCGAGACAGGGTTTCTCTGTGTAGCTTTGCGCCTTTCCTGGGACTCACTTGGTAGCCCAGGCTGGCCTCGAACTCACAGCGATCCGCCTGGCTCTGCCTCCCGAGTGCTGGGATTAAAGGCGTGCGCCACCACCGCCCGGCGTCGCATGTACAAATTTTTTAAAAATTTAAAAAAAAAAAAAAAAAAAGAAGAAAACTAAAACTGTGTTGGGCGTGGTAGTGCACGCCTTTAGTCCCAGCACTCAGGAGGCAGAGGCAGGCAGATCTTGGTGAGTTCGAGGCCAGCCTGGTCTATAGAGTGAGTTCCAGGCCAGCCTGGTCTACAGAGTGAGTTCCAGGACAGCCTGGTCTACAGAGTGAGTTCCAGGACAGCCTGGTCTACTGAGTGAGTTCGAGGACAGCCTGGTCTACAGAGTGAGTTCCAGGACAGCCTGGTCTACAGAGTGAGTTCCAGGACAGCCTGGTCTACTGAGTGAGTTCGAGGACAGCCTGGTCTACAGAGTGAGTTCCAGGACAGCCTGGTCTACAGAGTGAGTTCCAGGACAGCCAGGGCTACAGAGTGAGTTCCAGGACAGCCTGGTCTACAGAGTGAGTTCCAGGACAGCCTGGTCTACAGAGTGAGTTCCAGGACAGCCTGGTCTACAGAGTGAGTTCCAGGACAGCCTGGTCTACAGAGTGAGTTCCAGGACAGCCAGGGCTACAGAGTGAGTTCCAGGACAGCCTGGTCTACAGAGTGAGTTCCAGGACAGCCTGGTCTACAGAGTGAGTTCCAGGACAGCCTGGTCTACAGAGTGAGTTCGAGGCCAGCCTGGTCTACAGAGTGAGTTCGAGGCCAGCCTGGTCTACAGAGTGAGTTCCAGGACAGCCAGGGCTACAGAGTGAGTTCCAGGACAGCCTGGTCTACAGAGTGAGTTCGAGGCCAGCCTGGTCTACAGAGTGAGTTCCAGGACAGCCTGGTCTACAGAGTGAGTTCCAGGACAGCCTGGTCTACAGAGTGAGTTCCAGGACAGCCTGGTCTACAGAGTGAGTTCCAGGACAGCCTGGTCTACAGAGTGAGTTCCAGGCCAGCCTGGTCTACAGAGTGAGTTCCAGGACAGCCTGGTCTACAGAGTGAGTTCCAGGACAGCCTGGTCTACAGAGTGAGTTCCAGGACAGCCTGGTCTACAGAGTGAGTTCCAGGACAGCCTGGTCTACAGAGTGAGTTCCAGGACAGCCTGGTCTACAGAGTGAGTTCCAGGCCAGCCTGGTCTACAGAGTGAGTTCCAGGACAGCCTGGTCTACAGAGTGAGTTCCAGGACAGCTTGGTCTACAGAGTGAGTTCCAGGACAGCCTGGTCTACAGAGTGAGTTCCAGGACAGCCAGGGCTGCACTGGAAACCTTGTCTCAAAGACAAAGGAAAACTAAAGCTAAAGTAACTTTCTCTATTTCAGTTTTGTGTATGATTTTGTTTTTGAAACAGGGTCTTTGTGTGTGTGTGTGTGTGTGTGTGTGTGTGTGTGTGTGTGTGTGTGTCCCAAGCTGGCCTCCATCTCTAAGCAATCCTCAGTGGCCCTAGTACTGGGGTGTACCACTATGCCTGGCTCTTTTTCCTTTATCACCTAACTATCTTGGGCATTTGATTGCAGTGAAAGAGCTGGACAACACACACACACACACACACACACACACACACACACACACACACACACACACACAGAGGCACACTCACCTGCTTGTTGACCAGGCGGATAAGCTTGTCCATGTTCTTGAACCACATGTTGGCATTCTCATATTGGAAGTCTGAACCCATGGTCATCACAGTGTGGTTGGTTCGGTAATACTGTTGCTATAGGTGAGAAAGCAATCCTCAGGCCAGGGTGTCCTGGACTGTCCCTATACCTAAGTGTGCAAAAGAACACCTGGGGGCCTAGGGGTGTAGTTGAGTGTGAAAGTACTAGCCTAGCATGCTCAAGACCCCAGGTTGGATCCCCAGTACCAAAACAAAACAAAACCCACACTCAAGAATACATGGGGACTATGGCATGTAGAAGCAGAGGGAAACACAAAAATAACCAGTGAGGGGCTGGGGATGTGGCTCAGTCTGTAGAGTGTTGAATCTCCAGCACTGCAGAAACCAGACATGGTGGTGCACATCTATGTTCTCAGCACCCAGGAAATGGTGGCAGGAGGATCAGAAGCTCAAAGCCAGCCTCACCTACATAGCAAGTTCAAGGCCAGCTTGGGCTACAGGAGACCGTATCTGAAAATAACAACAAAAACAGCCAGTAGTTGTGAGGGACTCTAGGGTCCACTACTCAGATGAGGCTACAGGGCACTGAGCCATACTCTCTCATGCATCCTCCTCCTTCTCCTCCTTTTCCTCCTCCTCCTCTTCCTACTTCATGTTTATTTATGGAGTGAAGGACACATACTATGGTGTGCATGTTACAGCACCAGCTTGGAGACTGAAGAACAATGTACAGGAGTCACTTCCCTCCTTCCACCAAGTGGGTTCTGGAAATGAACTCAGGGTGTCAAGCTTGGCAGCAAGCACCTTTATCCACTGAGCCGTCTCACTGCTCCACTTCTTCGGTTCATTTACTTGTTTTGTCTGGAGACAGGGTCTCCCCCATGTAGTCCTAGGCTGACTTTGAGCTCACAGAGACCTGACTACCTCTGCCTACCCCCAGTACTGGGATTAAGGTGTGCACCACCACAGCTGGCCCACATCTGGTTTTCTTTTTTAAATAAGGTGTGTGTGTGTGTGTGTGTGTGTGTGTGTGTGTGTGTGTGTGTGTGTATGTGTTTACACATGTTGGTGAGGGATGCATTTGCCTCCACACACCTGCACAAATCAGAAGAGAGTGTCAGATGTCCCCCTACCATTCTCCACCTACTCCTTTAAGGCAGAGTCTCTCCCTGAACCTGGAACTTGCATTTTCTTTGCTAGCCTGTAATTCAGAAGCCCCAGTGAGTCTTCTGTCTCTACACCCCTTGGAGCTAGGGCTCCAAATAACTCCCATACAGGAATTTGCAGTCAGGATGACTGGCTTATAATGTGGGTGCTGGGATCTGAACTCTGGTCCTCATAATTGAGCAGCAAGTGCTCTTAAGTGCAGAGCTATCTCTCCAGCTCCTTGTGTATCCTTCTAAGGAAGAATAAATCCCAAAGGGAAATCCCTTGAAGGCATTCCCTCGGGCTTTGGGAAAGGTTAGGTGCCTGTGCCTGCATGCTATGGCCCATGGTCTAGATATCTGCGTTACCTGTAAAGAGGCCAGCTGCAGGAAGTCACTGACCAAAGTATCTGCATTGTACTCAGGACTTTCAGGATCCTCCACAATGGGATTGTCTGCACATAGCACATCCCAGCACAGGTTCTTCGGAGGGTCGTAATTATTGGGGAGCACACCTGTAAACCAAATTGGACTCAGCACCAGACCTGCCCTGGGGTCAGAGCCTGCCATGTCCTACCCAGAATAGAGTTCTGAATTAGAAAGGGCTAGTACAAAAAGAACACACAGAGCCCAGCTCAAAAATCATTAAAAATTCTAGGATAATTACAGTTTATCACAAAATCACACCTGGACCCTTCCAGCTTGAGGTCTTGTGTGACTCCCCTACCCTCCCACATCCTCACCAGTAAAGAGGTCAGCAATTGGGGGATTCAAGCTGGCACTGGCCCTCCACACCTCCTCCATCTTCAGTTCCTTCTTCCGAAAAAATTTATCTTGATAGTCAATGCGCCCAAGGAGGAAGCCATCAAAGCCCATCTGGAGTGCAGAAGAAGGGATGGAGTGAGCGAGTGCAGGTCCTTCTTGCCCAGTTGGGAAAGAGCACAGAGGAAGTACTCAACTAAAACTAGGTTTTGCCGGGGCTGGAAAGATGGCTCAGTGGTTAAAGCCCTATCTGCTCCTCCAGAAGACCAGGGTTCAATACCACAGCATGTATATGGCGGCTCACAACCATCCATTACTCCAGTTCCAGGAGATCCTACAACCCTCCTCTGTAGGCACTGCACACACATGGTGCACAGATATGCATGCAGGCAAAACACTCATATATAAATACATGGCATGACAGGGTCTCCATCTGAGGCCATGACAGGGTCTCCATCTTGAGGACTGAGGCCTCAAGCTCACAGTCCTCCTGTACCAGCCCCCCAAGTGCTGACATTGCAGGCATGGGTCCCACAAAGCCTGGATGTGTTCTTCTAAGCTTGAGAAGGGTCAGCAAAGAAGAGGCAGCTTTAAAGCCAAACCCTCTTCCACCTCCCTGGTTATGTCAAAGCAAAAAGGAGGCTTTTCCACTCTGCAGTCTGAGGTGAGAATAGGTCAGCACAGACATGAAGCTGGTTTTAAAGCAGGGTAGCGACACTGACCACTGTTCAGTGGTAGCCTCAACCCTAGCAGGTTCAAGGGAAGGGACCAAACCAATTGGAGAGAGGCAAAGCAGTTTAAACCTATGGTGCCCTAGGACACAGACCACTCAACTCACAGGAGTCAAATTCACCCACGAGGTGGGGTCTCAGCAAGTCAGGTGGGGTCTAGTCCCCGAAATTGCTAGAGAAGGGCAGGGTTTGAGGAGCTAATTGAACAGTTGAAGTTAAGCTAAGGGGCAGGTCCAAAAGAAAATAGGGTGGCTGGCACCTGGGCAAACAGAGAGGCCTGTTCTCGAGAGTGGCCGAAAGGGTCAATATGCCAGGCTACACGTGGACGGCCATTGCTACCGAACGTGTCTTGCAGGAAGCGTAGCCCAAGTGTCATCTGGTCCACAATAGCACCATAGTGGGTGGCTCCCTCATCATTCATCACCCAGCCACCATTGACAAACTCCAGACGCCCTGTGCAAGGAATGCAAGGGGGGAAAGGTATCTGTTAGGAACAGGGCCATCATGGGCAAGTCTAAGAAAACAGACAACACTGTTACTGAAGCTGGAGAGGAGGGGAGTTTCCAAGCCAGTCTGCTTAGATCTGCATGACTGGCTTCCTGGGAAGCCACTGTAGATGGGGCCTTGTGAGATACAGGTCTCCACATGAAGAGAGATTCTAAGCAGGTAGAACTATAGGTACAGTGTGAACACACTATGATATGATAAAAATCCCAGAGATGCTTGGTTGCCCAGGCCTTCCATTCCAGCATTAGGAAAGCCGGAGAATTTCTACAAGTTCAAGTCAGCCTGATGTACACATCAAGTTCCAGGCCAGGAAGGGCCATGTAATAAGACACTGTCCCAATAAATAATAGTAGTAAATAAATAAATAATCTCAGAGATCAAGCTGGACTGAGTTTCCTCCTTTCACTTCTTGGGGTATGCTCACCCTGGTGCACCAATTTCCGTACGATATCTTGTGTTGCATTTGTCTGCTGCTTCCACCAACGGGAAAAGAAAGCCATCTCCACGTAGATGAAGCGTCGGGTGGGATCCTCCAGTAGAGAGGGGATTACTGAGTCTAGGATAAACTGAACAGATGCATGCTGAATATCATTTAGGCCTGTGGACATGAAGGTCAGGCAGTGAGGGACCACTAGGAGACATACCTTGATACAAGAGTCCAGATGACTCACTGTTCTCACCCCAATGTCCAGGTCCCTGAAAAACTGAGAAGGGGCCCCTGACTGTACTCACTGCCATAATAGTACTGGTCCACTGTCTTCAGCCAGCCTACATCATCATGTGTATGAGGCAACAGGTGCACGTTGAGCATGCCTGGCTTCACTGTGGGACATGTCTGCACAGAGACCCCAGAACATACACATTCCCTGTCAGTAACCGAGAGGTGAGAAGCCAGCAGGTTGGGGGTTCTAAGGTAGAATCTTTGCCTAGCATGTTCAAGACCGTAGTCTTGACGGCCACCATTACAAAGCAGGCAGGGAGGTGATAAAAGCACAGGTCTTGAGTCTGGAGTGACAGAGATGTCAAAGAGCATAATCTGTCCCAGGCTGCCTCAGGTAGGACACAGAGTATTGTGCTCATAGACACAATTCCCACTTTGCACAAACCCCATAGAGCAGATTTCATAAAGTAACCACTTTAGTAGTAGCTGAGGTGAGCTAAGCATTCCAGACATCAGGCAACCAGCCTGAGATGTGGGGCAATATTAGCTCTAGTTGACAGACTGGGACACCACACCGAGGCATGGTGTAGAGAGGTGACTTGCACCCGGAGCCAGGAAGCTGAGAGGCCAAACTGGGACTCCAGGCAACCTGAAGGGAGATGAAGCTGGGGATAAGCGGCCCCGCTCACATAACTCTAGAAAGGGAAGAGGCGAAGTGCTTCCAGGTGATATAGTAGGGTTTGCAAGGCAGGCTTCCCATTAGAGCTGCCCCAAGCGGGCTTTGGGGAATGTACTGTCACCAAAAAGCGAGTCCATGCAAGTGGAACCATAGCAAGCACAACCTGTGCAAAGCTTAGAGCCCTGTCTCAAGTGACTGCTCATCCGTCGCCAGATTAATCACATTTAAGTGCATGCAAAGTCCTAGCACGCCAGCTGGAGTCACAAGAAGTGGATACAATCACATGCAGCCCTGTTCTCAGACGCACGCCAGACCTTTCCAGAGACCCAACGCACGCACTTAGACCACACCATCAGATCAGCAGCAGTCACCTATAGATCAGTGCCACCCACGCCTCTGCTTCAACTCTAGCCCAAGTACATTTCCGCCCTCAGGCCCCAGCTCACCTCGTAGCCCGCGGCCCAAGCGCCAGGTGTGGCCAATAACAACCAAAAGAGAAAGGAAACAGGCCGGACAGGCGAACCGAGGGTGCAGGAGCCCATCCAGAGCCACCCAGCACTCCCGCCACCAGCACAGACACCAGAGGCCAGCCTTAGTATTCCCATAGTTCCTGCAGCCACTTCCGCTGGCTTCCCTAGCCTAGCTAAGTACCAGCGAACGCTCCGCCCCCAGAACCCGAGCCAGCCAATCAGCGCGGAAGGGGGCAGGGCCTCGGCCATCTACAAACAGAGGCTGTGGAGTTATGTACTGAGGAATTGGAGCACAGGGAAGGACTGGGTCTGAATCCCACCCCCATTCCACTCAGGGCTCTTTTGGTTGAAGACTTTAGCTGTAAGGCTTTGATAATGAGTGTGAGCAAAGGATTCAACTTTTCCAGTAGACAGCAGTGTTTCCTAAGGAGTGGAAAGCGTAGATGGGATTCTAGGATATCACACTCTCTTTAGGGCTGGGTCCTGTAAGGGCCTAGCTTGGCTGGAAGCTGGAGTAGAAAACAGTTCTGGTTTGCCTTGTGGGGACTGGGACTTTAACAAACTGCCAGAGATGAGGCACGTAGCCGGGTCTGAACAGAAGCTGATCCTCTTATGAGCTGAAAGGGCCTTGTAGGGAAGGAAGAACCCTGAATCGTCCATACCCTTCCCAAACCCAACCAGTCTATTCACTAATCTGTTGCTCTAATAAGAAAACCCAGGGCCAGAGTTTGGTGTGTGGGTGTATAGGTGTAATCTCAGCGTGCTGAAGGCTGGAGCACCAATATTGCCATCCTAGGATATATGATTGATTACCAGCCCTGCCAGAGCTTTAGAGGAATACACAAATAAATAAAACCTAGAAATATAGCTCTACAGTATTATGTCTGTGTAAAACATATAAAGCCCTGAATTTCATACCCACCACCTCAAAATAAACAAGTAGGTTAATAAATAAATAAACAAACAAACAAAAAAGAAAACCAAAACCAAAATTAGTCAGGTTGGCTGGGACAACAGTCATCCAAGTGTGGAAATAACTGTCTCACCCCTGATGTAAGACATGAGCCTTAAGAAATATGAACATTAACTCGTTAAAAAAAAAAAGCTCAAGGGGGGGAGGGGCACACAGGCCGGTCTTCACTGGGCAGAGCACCCCATGAACAAAAGAGAAGTGATACATGCCATCCAGAGTGGAAAATTTTTTATCAACTGGTTTCAACAAGAAAACAAGCGAATACTTAGAAACATGAACAGTGTTTCTCATAACAGTAGCCAGGGGAGGGAGATAAAAGGGAAGTCTGCGGGTTTACCCCTTTGTCAAAGCAGAAGCAGGACCCCAAAGAAAGGGCCATCCTCCCTCTATTCAGCTGGGAGACCAGAGACAACACTCAGGCGAGTTTACAGACAGCAGCCAAGGGCAGGTTGGAGTCAGTCAAAGGCTAGGCCAGAGAGAAGGTAGACAGGAGTCCAGGATCCAAGCCTTCTAGTAGACATCACCACGGGGGCGTCATGGGCTGAGGATTCTGCAGATAGGACATCACTACGGCAGAGATTGAGAGCCTGAGACAGAAAAGAGGTGTCAGTCCTAGAGAGCAGGCATGGGACCCCATCCCCTTACTCAGGATCCTCACATGAAGCTACTCATCATCTGCTTAGTGTCCTCCGAGCTCCGGGAATTGGCAAAGCTGATAAAGGAACAGTAGACGGCAACCCAAGCACACCACTTCAGCTGAAGAAAGGTGGGTGGGAAGATTGGATCAGTGAGAAGTATGCCAGGAAGCCCCCACAACCCAGATCCTCAGATATCAGGTTCCACCTGCAGCTTGGACCTTGGCCCAGGAAGTACCAACCCTTCAGTACCAAGCCTACTCCAAGCTTCTGATCCCCATGTGTGTATGTATCTTGTATCTCTGACCCCACCACATTCCCAAACGCTAAGGACCCTGCCCTTTTTCCAAGAGTCCTCTGTAAATTGTTTCAAAATCAGGCCCCACCCTCAGATCCGCTCAGTTATGTGCTCATCAACTGCAATCCCAACTTCCCCTATGTTGGAAACCTCACCATAGCTCTGCTCCCCACTGACCTCAACCCCCTTCCCCACCTTCAGCACAGCCAGAGGACTCGCCTCTTTCTGAACCCGCCCCCAGGCCTCATTCTCAGGAGGAGCGACAGAAGCCTAGGGAAATTCAACCCCGCCCACCTTAAGCATGAGGCCGCACATGCTGAAAATCATGCCGAGAAGATTCATGTAGTCCGGAGTCGGGTCGTCCAAAGCTGGGTTGCACTCGCTCGGCGGAGGCTTATACCTGCGACATGTTCAAGGGTCAGGAGCGATCAAGTCCCACCTGGGCTGACAACTTGGCGTGGACCACGGCCACGACCAGAGATGCCTTGCCATGACTTGCTGGACTGCTCACCTCAGCACTTTGTTGGGTCTCCGTGGGTCGGACATATTGTTGGTGGACATAACGAACCAAAGACCACGCCGGACCTCTTTCACTGCTAGAACAGCAGCTTCCGGCGTGGGAATGAAGGGTGGCTTTTAAGAGTAACACCAGCAGTCTAAGGCTTTTGCTCCCGGGACTAGGACTGCTCTCAGCCAAAGAATGGAGAATAAGAAAAGGCCAGAATAGCTCCTGGAAAGTAGGCAATGTGGAAAAAACTGAAAGGGACCTTTAGTATTTCTAACACTGTCATTAACGCGATGAAAATTTGAACACGGAAGTGCCAAGCAGGAAATAAATCCTGGGGGACAATAATAATGTTACACCCGTGCAAAGGTTTTGAAACCCTGGAAGCAAGGCAGTCGATACAGACCTCAGCATTGCGGGTAGCGGACTAATACTTTTGAAATATGGCTTTTCCTGAGCCAAAACCGCGGGCCCCGGAGCTGCCGCAGAAACGATTGAAGACGGTGGACTGCGGCCAGGGCGCGGTGCGAGCCGTGCGATTTAATGGTAAGCGTCCTCGTCTTCATCCCGGGCCTCCCGCCTCCTAAGGCCGAAGGTCCCCTAACCCCCACCTGCTGTTCCCCAGTGGATGGCAACTACTGTCTGACGTGTGGCAGCGATAAAACCCTAAAACTGTGGAACCCGTTGCGTGGGACGCTGCTACGGACGTATAGTGGCCACGGCTACGAAGTGCTGGATGCAGCCGGGTGAGCCGGGGGCCAGGATGGGGTAAGGAGCGCAGAGGCTTGGATCATGCATTGATATTGACCTTCCCTTTCCTGCCCGCCAGCTCCTTTGACAACAGCCATCTCTGCTCTGGTGGTGGGGACAAAACGGTGGTGCTGTGGGATGTGGCAACTGGGCAGGTCGTGCGCAAATTTCGGGGCCACGCTGGAGTGAGTACAATCCAGATGATTCTCATTAACGCGTGCATTATGGAGGTCCATATTAGTGCGTAGGTGGTACGAGGAAGATCCTTCCATTGCAGTCTTCCGCCTGAGCCCATCTCTTACACCCAGGCAGTCACCAAGCACTGTCTTCCAGTTTCTCCAGAACCTTTCACCTTCCCTACCAGTAGTATGTGTTCTTGCTCTCAACTTGCACTAGGAGTCTCTCCTTTATCCCAATCTTCCAAAACTCCCCTCCTCTAAATTAGTAATTCCCGTTTCTCAGAAGGTGAACACCGTTCAATTTAACGAAGAGGCCACAATCATCCTGTCTGGTGAGTCTAAGGCCTGGACAGCGAGAAACTGGTTGTTGCCCAGAGACCCAAACCTGGCCTCACCTTCCTGTTGGCCTTACAGGTTCTATCGATTCCAGTATCCGATGCTGGGACTGCCGTTCTCGGAAGCCTGAGCCCGTGCAGACGCTAGATGAAGCCAGAGATGGCATATCCAGTGTAAAGGTGTCAGACGATGAGATCCTGGCAGGGTGAGTAGGTCCAGACGCTTACTCCTATCCTGGTTGGTACCACTGGAGATTATAGTGGCCATGGTTTTTTTTGAGACAGGAACTTATGTAACCCAGGGTGGGCTTCAATTCCTAACCCTCTTGCCTTTAGCTCCCAAGTGCTGAAATTTTAAGAATGAACCATGACATTCATGGTGCACATCTTTAATCCCTGCACTCAGGAGGCAGAGGCATTTGGATCTCTGAGTTTGAGGCCAGCCTGGTCTACATAGTTGAGTTCTAGGATGCCCAAGGCTATGTAGGGAAACCTTGTCTTTAAAAAAAGAAAGAAGAAAAGAAGCAGCAGCAGCACCACCACCACCACCACCACCACCACCACCACCACCACCACCACCTCCTCCACCACCACCACCACCACCACCACCACCACCACCACCACCACCACCACGCTGAACCCTAGCCTAGATCTCTTTTGTTTCTGACACAGGGACTCACTCTGTCCTGGAACTCACTATACAGAACAGGTTGGCCTTGTGCAATGCTCCCAGCTCTGCCTCCGGAGAGCTGCACCTCAAAGCCCGGCCCAGCTCAGATAATTAGGCAACATTTCATTCTGAAAGTCAAAATAAATATCTCAAAAAGCCAAGCACAGAGGTTAGTTTTGTTTTGCTTTTTTTTTTTTTTTTTTTTAAATTTTCTTTTTCTTTTTTAATTTATTTATTATGTATATAGTATGCCTGCATGCCAGAAGAAGGCACCAGATCTCATTATTGATGGTTGTGAGCCACCATGTGGTCGCTGGGAATTGAACTCAGGACCTCTGGAAGAGCAGCCAGTGCTCTTAACCTCTGAGCCATCTCTCCAGCCCCTTGTTTTGCTTTTTAAGATTTATTTTTGTTAACTATGGGGGATGGAGAAATTGGTCAGTGGTTAAAAGTACTGGCTGCTCTTCCAAAGAAACCAAGGTTCAATTCCCAGCACCTATATGATGACTTAAAGTTGTCTGTAAGTTCAGTTCCAGAGATCTGATGACCCTTTCCTAGCCTCTGTAGGCACCAGGCATGCACATGGTACGCAAACATACATGCAGGCAAAACACAAGTACACAGAAGACATTTGAAAAATAGATAGGGTATGTGTATCTGCATGGGGGTGGGCGGAATATCAACAGAGGTCAAGGGTCCCCTAGAGCTGGAGTTACAGGTAGTTGTGAGCTACCTGATGTGCCCAGCTTTTGGGGGGTTTCTTTTGTTGCTGTTGTTGGTTTGGTTTTTGGTCTTTCAAGACAGGGTTTCTGTGTAGCCCTGGCTGCCCTGGAATTCACTCGGTAAACCAAGCTGACCTCTTGCCTCCCAAGTACTGGGAGTAAAGGCGTGTACCACTTCTGCCTGTTTTGTTTTTTAATTTTACCTAATATTGTGTGTGTGCAGGCATATGTGTAGAGATCAAAGGACAGAGTCAGTTCTCTCCTTTAGTATGTTGAGGCAGGTCTTTCTTGCTGTTTCTCCATGCTATATACTCCAGGCTAGCCAGCCCTTAACTTTCCAAGAAATTCTTGTCTCCACCTCCCATTTCCCCAATAGGAGTGCTGGAATTTTAGATGCCTGCTCCTTCATACAGTTATTATGTGGGCTCCAGAGGTCAAACCTGGATCATCAGTCTTGCTCAGTCCCCTGATGAGCCGTCTCTCTGACCTAAAGATAGCACTTAATTTCAGTTTGGTGATAGGGACCTTTATTGTGGTTGACTCCATGTTGTGGCCCAGCTCAAGAACTTAGGCAAAGAAATGGCCTCCTGTGCCAGTCCACACTTTACACCTCTCCTTGGCCTACACCTGGTTGCCTTCTCTCATCTTCAGGTCCCTCTTCTGATGTTGCCTACTTGGACCTCTCTGGATCTCCCTTGCTCAGCACAGGCTCCTCCCTCAATGGTAGAAGCTGTTCAGGCTCTTCCACGGAAAGAGCTGCAGTTCCCAGTCCTGTCTCACAGGACAGTACTAAATGTACCACAGGGCTGGAAACATTGTTCAGTGGTTTAGAGCACTTGTTGCTCTTGCAGAGAACAGGGGGTTTAATTCCCAGTATCTACATAGTGGCTCACAATCATCTCTAACTCCAGTTCTAGGGAATCCAACATCCTCTTTTGGAGGTCCCCAGCCTCCCCAGGGAACCAGACACACACATGGTGCACATACATACATAACGCAGAC